CTATTGGTATTATTTGTACTTGTTTGGAGATTATGAGTCCCTCAAAGTTAAAATGAAATTATAAGAACAACTGGTGCAAATGGCATTCTGTTCTTTTTGGACATTCTGCAATTTGATAGCTGGAATGAAAGGAGCGTAAAGCCGTGGGGTAAAATGTAGGATTGATGGTTCCTTCTTTGTCTATAGCATACTCCTTTGTTAGCTATGTTAGTCATTCCGGGTGAGGAAGCTCAACTCTTCTATGGATATTGCTTCATGTAACAACTCTTCAAAAATATAGCTATAAATCCTGGAAAATAGGATTTAATGATGTCACCGTTTTCTCTCTTGTGTTAGATAAGTCTAATCAGCATCTCCCAGTCTGACTTAAAATAGGTGGGGTGTTTGAACACTTATCCAATTGACATTGATCTCTGAGTTACAGACAGGGCTCAGTAAAAAGCCAAATATCAGTTTTCCTCCTGTAGGATGACTTAATTAATGTAACTGAATGCAAAAGAATTAGAAGAAGTAGGGCAGCACTTGTGAGACTTTAAACACACAGACACACACACAGAGTCTAAGGACTTGACTACCTGAATTTTCTGATGGGGAACCTGAATATTTAGGAAGATTAACCATATTACCATGGTGTGAAGAATTCAGACCAAATGGGATTGAATGAAAGACAAGATTATCAGCAGGCTGGATAATTTAGTTAACTGAGGATTTTGCAGTGAGGTCATGTCATAGATAAGAATGTGTCCTTCTAACTGTGGGATATTTCCCAGGCAGCATTTTGCAGAATTGTGTGGGATTACTCAAGATAAAAGATAACTTGAGAGACATACACAAGACAATTATGTGTGAAGAAAACATTAAATAGTTCGGAATGTTCTGAAAATAGTAAAGGCAATGTGATAGGAAAGAAAGAATAATGAAGGGGACCTAAGATTATGAGATAAAGCTGAATCTTTGGAGTACCTTGTGTTATATTTATTTTTTCATATATATATATATATATATATATATATATATATATATATATATATATATATATACAAACAAACAAACCCCAGTGTTTTGGACTGGTGAAGGAGACTAGGTCTTTATAGATTCATAACCTGTTTAAAAGCTTCCTTATTTTGCTACTCCCATGTTTGTCCAATTTAGTAATAACCACTAATCCAAAGTGTTCCATCCTTAGTTCTCCAATTAAAACATTAATAAAATATGGACTGGTTCAAAATGTTAATACCATGTTGCCCTTTAAAACTTTCTTGTCTAGGTTTACCAGGATACTTCCCTCTGATAAAGATGACTGAAGAAATCTTCCCCTCAGAAAATCACACGGTACCTTTGGCCTATAAATATTACTGGCACTAGGGGCACCTGGGTGGCTCAGTTTGGTAAGTGTCCAATCCTTGATCTCAGCTCAGGTCTTGATCTCAGGGCCATGAGTTCAAGCCCTTTGGTGGGCTATATACTGGGTGTGAAGGCTACCAAAAAAAAAAAAAAGAATTTTTTTTAAATATAAAAAACTGGCATTTGTTTCTGAATCTTCTTTGTGCTTAGTTTAATGCCCTATAAGTACTGAATGAGTATTTCATTGGTTGAATAAGTGACCTCTATGTACAAGGAGACTCAAAGTCAGAAAAATGAAGAAGCTGGAAGAGAAATCTAGACTTGGGTTCTGGTATCAGTTCTACAAATCAGTTCAATTTAGAAGAGGATTTATTCAGTTTCTTGCTGTGTGTCATGAATTGTGGTAAACATCAAGGTCCAAATGAGTAATTCTGAAGAAGATGACATAGTTGCAGTTTGGTAATGTGCATGCATACACTGTGTAATAGTAGAGCTACAGATTATAACTAGCAGAGAAGAAAACTTAGCAAATTTACAAATGATCTTTCTGTCTGCACTTTAATTTCCGAAGCTATTTACCTAAGATTCTGCCTTTATTCTGTGCCACTAGTGACTCTGGATGTCTTCAAGTTTGCATTTCAGACAGGAAGGCAGGCCTCCCTAAAACTTTCACATGCTAACAGCTGTAATTAAAGCAGAAGGCCTTATTTAAATAGTAATTAGCCTTCAGGACTTGAAGTGTAAACAGAACGCTAATTCATTTAGATAGTTAATTGGTCTTCTGGGTTAGAGATCTTAGCATGGCCTTCCTCTTTAGCTATGATGTATTTATGTACTGAGAACAGATAGTGTGTTGACTCAGTGGGATGCAATTTTGCAAAATCTTGCTTGACTCTCAGAATTTTAGCTTTTAACTCCCCAGTAAAGGCTAATGTAAATGAATTCAAAAACATTGTGAAAAACATCAAGAAAAATTCTATAGCAAAATCATGAACACTTGAATTTTTTTTTATAATTACAGAGACCATGTGGCCCGCTTTATTCATATTATTTCCATGTGATTATCGATAGCTTCCCTTTAGTATTCAGGAATATCTTGGTTTGGAGATAAATTATGTGGTCATCCTATTCATAATTAAAGGTGACAATGTACAGTTATTGCTGTAACAAAAGGTGTAGATAAGATTGGTTGTTTCCTAGTGAACCCAATGACAAATGTCAAAGTCCTTTTCCCGACTTTCTGCCATAAAGATGATTAACAAGTGATATTATTAAGTTTTAAAGATCACCTTTTTTTGAAGGTCATTTATTCAACCAGGAAGTTTGTCATTGTCTTTGCCAGGTTTGCTAGTCTGCCAATAACTCTTGATCAAAAATAAAAAAAACCATTGTATTTGATAACTGCATATCTGTATTATTGTTTTTCCTCAGCCCCAGAGGTGGCGTGGCTGGGGCGGGTGGGGGGGGTAATCTGATGTTGTTTCACTTTTTTAAAGTCTTTTTTCTTCTTACTCCAGCTAATCACAGTGTACAACAGGTGCTAAGGCCTGCTGCTAGCCATCTTTTCAACATATGCATCCCAACAGACTTGTATAAATAGTACCTACCACACTAATTCAACAAATATTTTATGAATATGGTGGCTGGGGCATAGGAGGCATTCACAGATGCTGATTGAATACTAAGCACTCCTTTGACTTGGTGTGAGGTGCTACCAGCTGCGTGGTAGGAAGAGGAAGAGGAGAGAGCTCTATATAAATAATATCAGGTAGGTTCTGCCTTCAAGTCTCCAAGGGGAAGGTGTGAATAAATAGTCATAATTAGAGGTAAGAATCGTGAAGTGCCAAGAGAATCTCTATGAGCAGGTGGTAGAGCTCACTCCTGGGAGGAGGGAGGTGTTTCAGGGGAGGCTTTGAAGGAGGAGAGGTAAATATTCGAATTCATGACTTTCCCTCTGTTCAGGGTTCATTTTGATCTCAGAATTGAGTCTTGTGAAATGTGGAAGGGCCTTCCTCATGTCATTCTCCACAATTGTGCACTCGATTTTTGTATGTTTTTGTTGTTCTTATTGTTGTTTTTTTTTGTTGTTGTTGTTGTTTTGGCTGGCTAGTACCTTTTCCTTCAAGATTGATGACTAATCCAAATGAGCATCAGCTCGTTTTGCAAACACGACTATTATATACAGCAAGAAATAATGCTAAAAGCTACCAATTTATTATGATTCACTTTAGCATGAAGTTGATGTAATATTGTAGTAGCATTACTAAAAGAAGTGAGTTGAATCTTGCAGGGTAACCATTACCACACCAGCTCTGGCCTGCCAAGCACCTCATACTCAGTAACAGCGGGGCAGCCTTTCCCCTGGCATGCGGGCCATTGCTTTCCATTAGCGCAGGGATGGCATGGGAGCTGCTCTTCAATCCCTGGGTGCTTGCTGTGAGTGACAGCCCCGTGGCCCCTGACTGCCACCCAAGACCTAAGTAGGAAAACAGAAGGGGTTGGATCAAAGTTTTTCATTTCAGATGAGAGTGGGAGAAGGCTGAGAATGAGATGATTAGCTCCATTTCCCCTTGCCCCAGAAGTGAGGGCCATTTCCTCCCCAACTCCTCTGGCTTTGCCCACACGCCATCATTCTGTGTTGGGCACCTTCAGATGCCTTGGCCCTTTTGTTGCCAATGACGTCTTCAAGGCAATATTCATGGGACTTTGTGGCCCAGCCCATCCCAGAGTCAAGAGAACTTGGCCCATATCGAGTTAAAATGAAAGATAATTGCTCTTAGACCCTCGCCTTGAAGATCCAACAGGGAAAGCTTAGTTTGAAAATGAGTAAAAGGATGAAAACATACACACGGAGGGCCAGTTTTTCACTGCAGGTTAGAATGGAGGAAGTGGAGAGTGAAGTGAGTAGCCCAAACTCTTGGTGAGCTTGCTGTCTCTGGAGAAGGAAATAACATCGGGCTGGTGTTCAGGGCATTAAAACAAACAAACAAACAAACAAACAAACAAACAAACACCAACTGAGTTACATTGTCACAGTGTCACCTAAAATACAAAGTGAAATAATTTTGCCTTGAGATACTTAAAACGAAGAAAGCTTAATCGTAGAGCGATACTGATGCAAAGCGCTGAAAATGAACAGAACATGCAGATCCTACTTTTTTTTTTTTCTTCTTTTTGTGTGTGTATTGTTGCTCACACGGAGACAGACTGTTCTGCTACCAAATAGGACCTGGGCCTCACCCAAGCCAAAGGGCTCTCCGGGATGCACGTACGACCTACAACCCGCCCCTTGAAAAGGAAAGCAGGGCCCGGGACACTCCGGCTGAGCGCGCAGGGCTCGGAGAGGGAAAGTAACCCGAGTCGGCCTCTTCGGGCGGACCCGCCCCCTCCCCCGAGTTTCCCCGGGTCCTCCGCCCCGCCCCTCTTTTATTCGGCGAGCAGCGACCCGAGCTGAAACTTTGTAACCCGAGCGCGCTCGCCGGCGCTCCTCCCTGCCCAAGTCCAGCCCCGGAGGGAGGCGCGGGAGGTGGGACCTGCGGCCGGGCCGGCTCGGGGACGCGGGCGCACGCGGCGCGGAGACCCCGGGGGAGCGCGCCGCGGAGAGCGGGAGAGCGGGAGCCGGAGGGGGGCGCAGCGCACGGCCCGAGAGCCCGAGCTAGAGGTCCCGGCCGTCGGCGCGGGCGGGCGGCGGGGAGCGGCCGGGCCCCAAGGGCCCCCTGCGGACCGAGGCCCGGGGGGCCTGGGGTCACGGCCCCGCGTCCCCGCAGCTGCCGTCGCCCAGGAGCCGCAGCTGTGCCGGGGCTCCCGGCGGCGGGGGGGAGGAGGAGGAGCCGCAGCTGGACGGTGGCAGCTGGAGGAGGAGCCGCGCGGCCGCCCCGAGGGCCGTCCCGGCGGAGCGGCGCTGGGATGGCCCGCTGACCGCGGTCATGCAGCCTTGACGGGGCGCTGCGGCGCACGGGGACCAGCCGCACCGCGCGCCCTCCCGGGAAGGGGCCGCGGGCCCTGGGAGCAAGACTTGCCGCCGACCCTAGCCCCGCGGGGAGCACAGCCACCTACCATGGAACCGGTGACCAAGTGGAGCCCCAAGCAGGTGGTGGAGTGGACTAGAGGTGAGCGGGGGTGGGGGGCCCGGGTGTCCCGCGCAGGGATGGGGCGCGGGGCGCGGGGCGCGCTGCGGCTCCTTCGGGCGAGACGCGTCCAGAGCGCTGCGCGGTGACAATGCAAACTTCGGAGCGGCCCGTGCACCCCTCGGTCTTGTGCCTGCTTTTGGGCGTGCGGGTTAAGGCGGGCCGAGGGGAGCCCCAGCGTCCAGCGGTGGGGCGGAGAGCGAGGTTGGGGGCGCCGAGCTCGGGACCTGCCGGGGGGCGCCCCCCCGCCCCGCCCCGCCCCGCCCGGTGCGGTGCCCGGCTCCCAGGCTGCCCGTCCCGGGGCGGAGAGGCACAAGGCGCCTTTGTGTGGGTGACTCCCCGCGGACCTCGTAAATGCCGCCGGCCCGGAGTAGTTCGCCGGCGGGACGCGGCGGTTGGACAGGTAAAGGGAGGGAGACTCGGGCGAGCCGCCGAGCCTCTGTTTTTGTTGGAGAAGCGACAGGGCAGCGGGACAGCCAGCATTGCGGCGTTCACGCCGGCGACGAGCCTTGAGCCAGACTCCCTGGATTGGGGACTTGCTGGGGGAGGTGCCAGTACCCACCCCCACCCCCACCCCCGGCCGTGGCGCTGCGTTTTTAGGCCACAGTTAGACCCTGGCAAGAAGAGATCTGTTTAGAATAACTGTCCTGAGTTGTATTTGGGATGAGGAAAAGCAGTGGGGTTGGGGTGGTGATGGGTGATGGAGCAGGGGTAGAAGCTGTCCTCAGAGTGCCCAGGCTTACTTTTTAGGGCCTCCCAAGATTTCCAGGGAAGAGTGATAGAGCTTCCTCAAGCCTCTTTGTACTCTTCCAAAGAAAGGAAGCCCACAAAAACAACCTCTGTTTTCATGGGTCCTCCCCTCCCCTCCCCTCCAACCCCCAACTTATCATCTCTTGGTTTCAAGTCACTATTTTTTTTTCTTTCTTCTATCTGCTCTTCCAGGTGAGGAATGGTGTCCTTTCTCAATAATAATAACTAGAATTGTGTAGCGCTTTACAGTTTGCTAAGAACTCTCTCTCTCTGTTATTGCCTTTGGTCATCACAGTAAACCCTGTGAGGTAGGTAATGCTGGTAAGATCAGGTCATCTTTCCAACTGTCTCACCCGTGGCTGGGGCGTAATGGAAACTGGTCATCTCTGCATCTCATTTCTCATGCCTGCATAGTACACAGAGACCACGTGGAATGGGATGTTCTAGATAGATGGGCCATATGGCATGTGTCAGTGGGGAATGCCTAATCATTTCCTGCTGTACCGGGAACAGAGAAGAGCTTTGTCCAAGGACCAGAATTTCCTGGGCTCTTACTTAAAATGAGGATGAACGCAGCACTAGCTTATACACTGGTGACTAGGTTTGCCTAGGTAAAGAGTAAATAGCATTGCCAGTGCTTGGCACAAAACGTTGACTTAAAAGCTGTGAGTCCTCAGACCCCATTTTGAAATGGGGTATGTTCCCCTGTTCAAGACAGCACCAGACCCCCCCAACTGGTGACTTGCTGAGACTGAGTTGGTTTTACCCATGTGTCCATCATAGAAGCAACTTGAGAAACGGCTGGTTTTCAGCAGGTTTTGACCTCCAACAGCTGTTCTGAACCAACAGGGTAGCTCCTAGCCACATGTGACTCTTAAGCCCTCAAAGTGGGCGGGTTAGAATTGTAGTGTGTTTTAAGTGCAAAATACACCCATGTGAAGACTTAGTGCAAAAAAAAAAAGAGTAAATTACCAAATTTTTCATATTTACTATGTGTGGAAGTGACTATTTTGGGTATGTTGGGTTAAATAAGATTTATGATTAAAATTAACTTCACCTACTTATTTTTATCTTCTTAATTGTGGCTCCTAAAAAATGGAAAATTAGACATGTGCCTCACATTTGTGCCCTGCAGTGTATTTCTGTTGGAGCATACTGCTCCAGAGTAAAGAAGGGGTTACAGTTTATCAGTCTTTGGCTTTCCTACGCCCCTGCCAGCCTACTTGATAATGTACAACTAGAAAAATGGTAACAGGCACACAGGAAGGTTTTGGAGTGAGATCTTCACACCCTCAAGATTCATGTCTTTTTTTTTTTTTTGAGAAGTGTAAATTCACATCCTGTTATGTTTGCTTAGTATCTAAAAGGAAGAGCAGATTCAAAGGTTTTTGGTATCCAATTGCCTTGACGTTATGACCTGAGATTTCTTTCATCCAGGGAAAGTTTCCTACTGACGTGAAAGAGCAGTTATGAGTGGTTTGATATCTTGGTATCAGGAGCACTGGACACTGATTAAGTTACATACCTGTGGTTAGCATGTGGCAACTTGATACAGAATGCTTGCACCCTTTTGGACCTTAAGTACAGCCTCATAGAATGACCTGGATACTTTCTGTGTTAGAACCTAGAAAAGATAACAACTCTTAGACTCTTAGACAAGAGGCTGCATTCTTCCAAATTACACGACACATTGCCTAAATATTTCTCATAGTAATGATGCGAAAGTATTGACTTTTTAATCAACTATTGACTTAATGCAAACTTGTTTGCTTATACAACTATTTTTAGTTGTCTTTGCTAACCTCTCTATCCAACACCCACTTTATAAATACATCCTCCTGATAAGCAGTTCTTCGTGTAGACTTTGCCACTCTTGGTGTTGCAGGAGTATGGTATGGTAATTGTGAGCATCATAGAAACCGTTGGATTTAAAGCCGTCGAAACCTGACCATACCTTACAGCTTGCCCTCCCTCGTGAATGAGGTTATGAGGCAGGTGCATGCATTAGGAAAAAGAATTTATGTCTATGGAATGAACTAATTCATGTGGATTTTATTATTATTATTTTATTATTATAATTTTCATTTGTAAGAATGTTTAGCTATACTGTCACCAATTTCATCATAATTTTAGTAGGTCCTCCATAAATCTTAGCAGCATATCAGGCTCAGTTCTCTGGAATGTACAAGTATTCACTTGTTTAACATATGTAACCACGTTTTGAGGTAGGAACAGATTTTTCCATTTTGTAGTTCCATTCTGAGCACAGAAAGGTTTAAGTACCTTGATCAGTGGTCACACAGGGGGAAGTGACAGCAGCATGTGAGCCTGGGTGCTTTGGCTTTACTCCCATCTTCTCAGGAGGTTCTCACTCTTAGAGGACTCTCAGAATCTTCACCACGTTGAAGAGCAGACCTTCAGATTCCCACGATGTGAGTTATTAATACCATGTTAGTGGAGGAGAGGTTCTTGGTACATGTGTGTCTTATCCTACCTACTTAGTGTATGTCAGGGAGATTATTTGTAAATCAGATGAGTTCACAGGTCATGGCACTCTGCCTTTAAATAATTCCAAAGGTTTTTGCAGAGCAAATGATCTTTTACAATGTATATCAGGTGAGGATAGTGTCTGCCGCCCATAACTGAAAATCCAATTTACAGGAGTTTAACCAAATGGGAGTGTGTTGGTTTTCTCTTGTAAAAGGAGGTCTGGAGATGGGGAATTCAGAGGTAGATGGGGGCTCCGTGATGTGGTCAGGGGCCCAGGCTCCTGCCATCCTCTTCAGGCATTCTTAGCATGTGGTGTAGCAAGTAGCATTCATCTTCATACTTAAGGCCTCAGTGCAAGATGGCTGTTCCACCTCCAGGGTCATGTCTTTATACCAGGCAGGAGAAGGGAGACCCAGAGAAGGCAAAAGACTGGTGGTCGCCAAGTCTCCTCCTGGGAGCTCCATCAAGTGAGTTGGCTTACATCTCAGTTGCCAGACTGTTACGTAGCCTCATGCTACAAGGAAGCCTAGTTACTGTAGTTTTGTTTTTTTAACTGGGTATATGATAGCCCTGAAAAATAATTGGAGTTTGTTCAGTGAGAAAGAAGAGGGTGTGGGGAATAGATATCGGGAAGCAGCCAGCAGTGTCTGATACACAGTAATTTATATGTATTGATCTTTATAGGTTCTCAAAGTAGGATACATGTCATAATTTTCCAGTTAACATCAAGCCTGAGGTTCAGCCCTGTTTTAGAAAAGGCGCTGCTTTCATTCCTATTAAGCTTTCTCAGGTCAAAACTGTAAGTCATATGAAATCTTTGTCTGTAAGCTTGTTTTAAATATTAGAAATTGCAATGGAAAATGCAGCTACCCAAGTTGTGTTTCTGTTTTCAGACCACTGGGAAGTGTCTTTGACAAGGAGGAAGGACCACTGATTTGGGCTAGAAGTGCTGTTGGTCCTTGCTGGGCCTGGAATAGGCTGGTTCTCAGTAAGTGTGTTGTTGAGCGAGCACATCATAAGACCCAGCCTTAGTGGCAGAACGGAAGTCTCTCTGGCTAGCTTCTGGCTCCTAGCATGGTACCATTTCTCCATCACCAGGCAGGAGTAGAACGGTTTCTTGTGGGATTCAGGGCATCTGCCCATTCTCTGCGGTCCGACCGCAGGGACTGCTCTTCCCTGTAACGTCTGTTAGTATGTGGCAAGTTGGCAGTCTTAAAGCGCCTCACTGTTTGGTTCTGGAGGGGCTAGAATTTCAATGTTATCTATACGGATCTGGTACATAGTAGGTCAACTCCAGTATTAGGCCCCTGGGCCCCCTCCTGCTGCCAATCCATACAGAGGCCAGTTCTTCCCAAAACCCTGATTCCGACTAGGATGTATTTTTCCCGTTAGCCTTGTGGTCAGTGAAAAAAGGAGGTCCTTTTCTTTTGACAGTTGTAGGTCTCCTTTGTAGGCTGGAAAGTCTTCTCTTGATTCTACTCTCCTCCTGGTTCTAGTCTGTTTCCTGGGATCTAGCCATAGAGTTGTCATAGTCATAGTAATAGAAAAACGTTTACAGAAGCATTTATGATGTGTCAGACATGGTGCTAAGTGCTTTATCTTGACTCCTACAATTCTCAGAAAACCCAATGAGGTGTGCAAACCATTGTTAACCCATATTAAAGCTGAAGAAACTGAAGTGGAGAGAGAGAGGGAGAGAGAGGGAAAGGGAGAGGGAGAGAGAGAAAGAACATGCTCAGGGT